GGTGCCGCTTGCGGAGGAGACAAATTCTGCACTCCATGGCCACACGAAGTGTTTATCACATTTTCCTGCAAAGGCACATACGTAGATAATTTGACTGATCTTCTACAAGAAGGTTCCCCCACCATGAGTGTCTATCAGAGCGTCTCTAACCCAGCTGGTGCCAGAAATACCCCTAAGGTTCTTCAACTAACTCAACTTCAGTGTCCGTTCGTTTCATAAAGATGCGCCATATGCACAGAGGTGCAAATGAGTAGTTAAAATTTGTCTGAATTAATCATTGCAAAAAGTATGGAAGAGGTGCCTGGCCACGATCCTTTATCACAAACATCTTCAAAAGAGAATGTATGAGGTTGAAAATTGACGGAAACACAAAAGAGGAACAAAATAAAGAAATATTTACGTAAAACTATAGCAAGTAAGGATTATAGTTTACTACTTTCTCCATCCTCCAAACACGAGAGGAACTGTGGCCATTTTGTAACAATGTCGACAGGGCGCCAGGAAACAAAGGCTTCAGTCACATGATGTGCTTTGTAAGGTAACAAAATTGGTTCAGCTTCAATGTGCCTGCATAATGAATAAAAAAATCTAATCACCCATAAATGCTTCGCTTTGTCGAAGGTGATTGGAAAAACACCTTTAGCATGACCATTGCCTTAGAAACACCCTAAATTGCGGAAGCAACGGAAGCTTGACAATGAGACTCCCTCGCTGACATGATAATAAGACGTCGCAAGTCAAGTTAGAAAAACGATTACGGCGGAGAAACAAGTGGAAAAACTCCAGCATCAGTAGGAGACGGAATAAAGTAACCACAATAACTCGTACACTAGCTAAATATTGTAACTTTCATCTGGTAAGGATGTCGAAAGACACAGCACTAAAAGACATCGCTTTCGTTCATCAGTGTTCAAATTATTTGGAAAATGCACTTGACGTTGTTGATAATATGAGCCCAAAACATCCTCCACAAGTTTTTGATCAAGAATGTTTATTCAAACCAATATCGAGCACAAAAATGCTTGGAAACACAGTTATTATGCAGTCACATTGTTTGATCTAAATGATTCACCAAACAGGTTGTTTTACAATATAAAAATTGAAAGCAAAACAAGAACAGGATAGCTGAATTGGTCATTGGCAGATGTATCCTCTCAAAGAAAAATCGACTATCACAAGCCAGGTATTACTTATATTCAGCCAAGCTGTGGGCAACATAGGCTTTTTGTAAACAGTACACGCAAGTTAGTAAACAATGCACAATACACAAAAATTCTGAAAGTATTGAAGCTAACTAATGCCAACTTGTAAAGAGAAAAGTTGAGCTTCTTCTGAGGTGTAACAAGGTAGTATATACTTCATATCCAAATAAAAAACAAATTTAAGCATAACGGGAAGATACAGTCTTTTGGCGTGAGGTTTTTCTGACAATCCAAAGCCTCTTTAGCTGAATCTCAACGAGTATCACAGCCACAACTGACAAATAAGATATGAGAGAAAAAGCGACACCTTTCTCGCAATCTAAATAAGTGCCAAACTAAAAAATTAGTGTTGCTACAATGCTTACGAGCACTCACGTTAATGTTGTTCATTCGTTTGCAACAAGAATAAGGCACACCACAAGCCTTGGAGCTAATATTTGTGGAATTGCATGAGAAGTACCGATTTTCAGTCCAATCATTGTAGCTTTTTGCCCCACAACATTGAAGCTGGAACGAGCAAAAGTACCTGCGTGCTCAGAAGGGCAGCGAAAATTGTGCAAACATAGTAATAATATGCCAAAAAAGGCGCAAAATAAATTACACTTGAGCTCGTGCAATATAGTTAATCGATGTCAGAGGAATAACCAATCTACAGCGAAACCGAAAATTTGAATAAAGAACAAAGAATACACAAAAGCCGCATAGGATTGCAACAGCCTATAAATTTGTATAGATTATGTATTGATCAAAACAAATACATAGGTGATAGCACAGAGACGGAAGCATAAAATACGTTTGGCAAAGATTACCTCAATCTGAATGAAGTCCACGAAATTAGTCGAATCCTCGAATCCTATCTCACGATATTGAGAAATGAACGTTTTCTTTACCACTTCTTCAATACGACTAATAGCCGACTCGCGGTAAACAAAGAAAAATACTCCAATAACCGTTTCACAAACAAACAACAGTGCTAGTGAAATGTAATACTACAACAATCGTCAAAGATACTTCAATGTACGAATTTAAGGAGGCATTGGTTTTCCCGCAAAGAACCGATAAACCCGGTAAATGCAACACACGTCGTGATGAGACCAACGCCAAATACAAGCACTGTCAGGTTAAAGATCCACTGCAAGAGACTGACACTGGATTTCCTATTTACAATGCCTGACTCAGCGAATGCTATTACACCGAGTACGAAAAGTAAACACCCAGCCATCTATGAAGTTAGGGGCAGATTCAAGTTCTCACCATAAAGTAAAAGTTGGCAACACATAATAAATATTTTATCCACCGATTTACATAATTGAATTTACCAGACGACCGATGACGACATGGTTTTCTAGCCATCATGAACAACCAATCAAGAAAACAAACAAAACTTTTGACCTTGGTTATGAAAAATTTGTGTACTTAAATAACTAGAAACTTTTATTATCTACTTTAAAAAGACAGTTTTGCATTTCATTTGAAATTGTACGGTGACTAATCTAGTCTTATTGCCAAGATGTTTAGAGAGAATTTGTCTTAGTTACCTTACAGAAATCAACCACGCAAGTGCTGCGTAAGGCATGTACGAACCTAAATGAGAGCAGATTTTATATGGATATAATTTCGATGCCCTTTCCTTGGTGTTCTGAGGACATTAAGTTCGGGATGAACACAGACATTCTAGAGGAGAAGGATAGGTTGGACCTTGGTTTGCCCCAAAAATCAGCCTATCCATATAAGGACAAGACGAATAACAAAGTCATCACCGACCATCGTATGATCAAATAAACACTACCCCCTCTCTTTGAGCGATGTCACCGAGGCTCCCTCTTTACACCCCTGCGCTAGCCATCACAATATTCTGTGCCACAATGTAACACTCCCGTGTGAGCGATATTCACCATCAGCTACCAGAGACAGAGATACTGCAATTGACTCTGTCAGCAGCTTAAATTGGATTCAGAGTTACGTTCGGTCTGACAGCAGGATTCAGAGCCGGGTATATCTGTTGACAATCAATTGCCTCCTAGAAACAGACATAAGCGGTGGTCTAAAACAGATGCTTAATAAGGAAGACGAGATCAGACACACTAGGAGAACTCTGACACGTGCCCTTTTCGTGTGTGTGGAGATTTCGTTGTTAATAGTTTGTCTGTGGAACATGGAGACAATGTGGAACCACACAGACATCGTTCTCAACCCTTCCGTGGTGAATGATTCGAGGAGCCTCAAGACCGAAATATATGGACCAAACGCTTATCAAAGTTACCGCCAGGCATCGGATTGTCCCATAAACAAGACATTATGCACTTCATACCCATCGCAGACCAGGTTAACACCCAACATTTTTGTTGATGCAAACAACCCTACCCGACTATAATAAATTTAGAGGTCAAATTTCCAAAGACTGCTCGCTTGTAAATTTTGGACTAGGACTGACTGCTGACTATGGTGACAGGCACAAAACACCGCATATGCAGTCCACGACTCCGGCAAAAGCGAATTCGCCCAGTGCATCTGTAATCTATTGCCCAAGGACCTAAACCGGAAGGCGAATGTGATGCCTGCCCGCGACACGACCCTTCTCGAAACCAGTCAAATTGAGTGCAGCTTATTTCCACAATCGGAACCCACACGCCCAACCCGAGGGAATTAGTGGCGGAAACGTCACCTCAACAAAACTCAACGCACCTCATAGACGTCACAAGGCCTGACAAGGGGACTCCCTTCCGCGAAATAAATTAAGACGAATATGCAGAAATTGCCTCGTAACTCTTCCGAGACCAAACATTGGGTAAACCATATGTAACGCAACTAATAGCAAAACACCGAGTGTGCCGAGTGAAATAAGATATCCTAAAAATTTGTATCAAAGTGCAAACCAATCAATTCAGGCATAGAAGTAAACAGATGTATACATACTCATATGTACAGTGAAGGATTTCAAAAGGCTAATTTCTTCATCATCAAATAGAGGTGCTTCCCAACACGGAAACCCTGGAGATTGCTCGCATCTCCAGTTAGTTGCATTAGAAGCCCACCGAAGGAGACATAACAGGCCAGCCTGTTGGCATCGTCAGAACCATCTTGACTCTCGATGCGATAAATTTTTCCATAGCAAACATAGTCGAATTCCGCCATCTTACTATTATCCAACCGGCCATCCAACTCCTCTGCAGCATCCTCGTCGTCATCGTCATCATCGGCAGTATTGCCCACATCATTCAACAGTGACTTCGTCAAAACAAGGCGAAATTTCTCTCCCTTGTTGAGAGGGTATATTTGAGAGTGTATATCGAGAATCAATCCCATCTTAAATGATTCGCTCTCGCCAAAAATGCGTGAAACTTTGTCAAATCTCTTCCCGTCCTTATCAACATCCTTGACGTCGAATATATCCTCCAAAAGAGCAGTCATAGCGGCAATGCTGCGAGCACAGAGCAGCCTGAGGCAACAACCAAGCGAAGCGCGCTGAAGTTGGGTTCTTCTAACAAAAAGTACTAGGACAAACAGAATGATTTTAGGCATTGAAATAAATATGAGAGAAAAAGAGTTTGCAGTTAAATGATAATTATCTGTATTGATTTAAATCGGAGCCGTTTACGCAATTTTCGTGTCTTAATGTCTATGTAGCAGGTTAATTGCGACCACGCTCTTAGCATTCAATTAAACACAAGTAAAATATATTCATAACTTTTAAATATAGTTAAGTTCTTTATACGGTAAGTGCGAGTGCACCTAAAAGAACTTTTACTTATAAATTTATTAAAACACGTAAATCATCGATGCAAACTGTCCACTTTTCAATGCAAACCTTTTAACTTACCGACGAGCTTAGTATTTAAGCTATTTTGTTTATTTCATATAACCAAATGTATGATTTTGTCAGCTGATAGTTCAAGGTTGCGTACCTGTTGTTGATGCGCGTATTGCAAGTGTACGTAAGGAAATTTGGCAAGCCTTTATTACTTCTAGCATTGTTGCAGCGTACTGTCTACTAATGACCTGAATGGTTGAGTCTGGCACCATAGACTTTTTGTAAGGAAATTTTTTGCACAATTGTCCTTAAAAAGGTTTTTTTAATGTCGCGGCCTTGCTGTTTTTCTTTTCTTACTAACTTGATTATTTGGTCTCCTTGTTGTTCCATTTTTTTGATTTTTTGGCCTTTTGGCATCCTAGCTGTTATTCTTTTACACTTAATTGCCTTATTTCTGGCCAAACTTTTTTGTTTGTATAGTGAAACCAAATTAATTTATTAACTACCACCATTTTGTCAGCATAGTTAATCGATTTGCAAACGCAAATGCAATATGTCTATATTTATTAGTAATTGGTGTGAGTATGATTGACATCTACACCATTTCTTCGCAATGATTAAAATCTTATTTAAACATAGCCAATATCCACCTCATTATTTTGCAAAATGTCAAGATATTCTCTTCGATTGCTAACCACAGTTCATAACTTTTGGACTACTTAATGCCTCAATACTAGATCCCGGAATTCAATGTTTTATTTCCACAGCTGTAGTTTTTAAGTCAAGTGTCTTTTCGCTGCGAGGTTTTCGAAACTAGAATAAAGCATTTGAGAGCGTAGTAGGCACCGAGCTATTGGTAGGCATATGGAAATTTTTTCTACGTAAAGCTTTATGATAACAAAGTCTTACATTATTCGTAAGACTACTAAAAATTTAATTAATTGTCTTGATCGCCTGATCTTAACAATATTATTATCACATTTGGAAGTAATTAGCTGTATGCCATCTTTACATCAAATCGTAAGTTTATATTTAATAGTTTGCTTGCCCTTAAGCCTTGAATGAGCAGTCACGTTCGAAGGCTCCAATATCAACAACAACAGCAGAGGCAAGCGCAGTTACAAAGGTTATATGCACATGGTAGCCTCTCCTCTTTGGGACGTGGCTACGAGGCTTCTTTGCCCGGTGTTGCCACCTCATATCTGAGCGGTGTCAGTAGTGGAGCTGTTCGACCTAGCCCCGGTTCCGTTGTCTCTTTTGACCACCGCAGCTACACACGTCAGGTTCCTGGCGGTAGTATGATGAGTTTTAATCCTCCATCCACCTTGGCTAGTCGATCACTCTTGGGTAGACCTGGGTTGTATGCTAAGAGCAGTCTCCATCGGTCTCGCAGTCTGGGCGCATCAAAGGTTAGTTTCAACACTAACATAGGTTAACTTGCCTACAGTAGCATTAGTATTCCAGTGTTTGCAAATAAAGTGGTTGAATTTGTTTAAGTGAGCATTCACAACCCCTTTTTTCCATTTTCCTGCCTCTTTCCATCAAATTACTATGTTGTTTAAGGAGAAAAAAGGTAGTGTAGAGGAAAGGTTTAAAACAGAGTAAACTGATAGGTAGTGGTTATTGTTAAAAGTTTTCACTCAATCTCATTTTAACTTCATAGCACCCATATTCCAAGCTACAATAATGTAAAAGTTCTGCTCCCCGTGTTATTTTGACAAAAAGTCTTCAGTAGGTATGTGCGAGTTCGACAACTAGGCTCACGGGATTGTCGAGGCGTCTGAACCGATCCACGACACAAGAGTTGATAGTGAACCCGTAGTGCCGTACACTTTCCATCAGGTCTAGCACCCACCTAATTTTAAAGCTCAACTCTTACTTGAACGGCCTTTACAAAAGGGAAGAACCTTTCCTTGGTGAATCTTCACTTCTTCAACTAACTTCAGCGCGTCGCTTCTTATGGTTTTGCTGCTGTGATACCATAAAGCAAATATTTCTAAATTCTGCTTTTCGAAAAATTGAGTTGCAGCCTCCCCATTACGTCACTATCAACTGGGTTCTTCCTTCACCTCTATATGGGCAATAATTGTAGATTAGAGACTCCAGTGAAGTAGTGATGATTGAAATGTGATAGATGTGATGCACTGAAAAGTAGCAGTAAACGGTTTTGTCTGAACATCCCAACCAGAAAGGGATTGCATTATGGTCGGCCTCGACAAACGCCACGCAGCGAAGGAACAGCGAACTGGCGCCCACCCCATTTGTAACTTCAGTTTCAAAAGACCATTACAAATTTTACTGGTTTTTGACCCCCAAATGGGTAGTGTTTTACTCATTCAACTAAAGTGGACTCGCCCTTGAACGCATTCATGGCCGTCTCAATAGTACTCACAAACAATTTGTCGCGAAAACCCCGTTTTCCTTGAAGTATCACTACCAATACCTGATAATTTGATCCTCTTCCATTAAAGGCCTCCTTAGCCACGATACAAAGTGGTCGGTCGACAATTCAAGCGGAGCATCATGATCGAAAGGTACAATTGTTGATCAAGGCGGTGGACTTCCGACGCGCTACGAAGCCCTACTTTTGGTCAATCTTCTTCTTCACTCTCTTCCTCTTCACCCTCTTCATCGGCCTCCTTATCATATGCTTGCGTCATGTCTACATGAACCTCATCCTTTCCGTTGACGTAGGCGAGTCCATCGGTCCTCTGCTTTGTGGTCTGTCGTTCCTCTTTCTTGGGGCAGGATTCAAATTCCTCTACGATGCCTACCAGACTGGGGCCCGTGAACGTCAGAAAATTAAGGTAAGACTACTCGTTTATTTTGCTGGTTAACGTTCTTGAATCCCCTCGGCATCCACACATTGAAAAACTTCAACTGTGATGCATGGTCGAGAATAACCGGAACTCCAGTCTAATGCACACAGCTTCAAATCAGGACTGAAACGTGCAGGTGACATGTGCAGAAGCAAGTCTCAGGAGTGATTCATCACGGGTCACGACTCCGTTCAGGCCCTGTAACAGTCAACCTGGTGGACTGCTGCGATGATGCGCTCGTACCCACCTAATTAAGGCCTCAGGCACATATTCAGGGTGATATGACACCTTGTCATAGTACGACATCTGAATTGCACGGGTTGGAAGTTAGACAAAGGAGATACAATCAAGGTAGAATATGGAATGTCAGATTTTGAATTCTCCGAGTGGCACAACCCTCCAGCATAACCACTGGCAAAAACGACTGAATTTTTGAAGCAAGAGGATCAGCTTAAACGATGAAAGGGACGTAGCGAATTCTTGATTACCGAAGGATGGAGGCATGGAAGTGTCAATCAGGCCAGTTGTAAACTTCAGGATCTCAATTTAGTTTGCTTGTCTTTTTCTTGTCCACGTAGCGTGCATGATAATGAAGTAAGTCTGAACGCAACTCCCCAAGAGGAAGGCGTGTCTGTTTGCGTGCTTTGCTGTGAATCGATGTCCTCCTCTGTAACTACCTATTGCGCCAGCAGTAGTGCCTCGAAAGTCAAGTATCATGGCAGAACGTCTTCTCGGTTTGTCTGAACACGATTGCTCCTCCCTCGGCTCCTCACTCAATTCAAAACCAAAGGCACACACAACAATGCAAAACTAACTTTTCTCGGGTTAGGATTTACCGGCAGAACTTCATCTCTTCCTCGCCTCACACGGACTGAAGGCATCTGTTCGTATCATTTGTATGGTGTCAGCATCATATCTCAACTAATGTTGTCATTTTGCACCTCTTTAGCAACTTGTGAATACAGTGATGATTTTGGAGTGTCTACGAGGCAGGAAACTAGTAACTGAGAAAGTTTGCTTGCATGCAAACTGTTGAAACTCTCAAGGAAAGCTCGCTTTAGGAATGGGATCGTAGTATCCGGTTTTTGTTGTATCATCAAAACTTTTAGTGAATCGCAGCTTACATGCAAGAAAGACATTGAAAGAGCATCGGAAGAGTGAGCACTTGAATTTCCAATCATTGTGGATTCTGAGGCTTGACAAGTTGTTGCAGCACATTTAATACTCTATGAGAGATTGCAGAGAATGTCCCAATTTTTGCCATTCTCTTTAAGCCTTTGTGAGAATCACAAATTATGCTTCTTTTTTCCACTTTGGTTGCGTATTACGGAGAGTTGGCACACCTTTTTACTCCGCTGTGTTTAATTCGTGCACTTCTGTCCTGTTGCGGCAATATTTTTTGGCACAGTTTAGATGTAAAATCCAGAAAGGCTTAATCATGAAGCCGCATCACCCTTCATTCCCTCGCCCAAAAAGTTTCCCCCATGTTTGCTCACAGCAAATCAAGGATTAAATCACTGCCGATTGCTAGAATTGCACGATTATTTAGAGCTCTGGGACCCGAAGCATTCGCCAAGGAGTTTGTGCATCTTCAGCACTGTTTTTCTGATCTTATAAAACTGCTACCACCGTCAAGTCTCCGTAACCACTGGGAGACTTGTGAAATAGCCAACATTTCGATTAGGAAGCTTAGAGATTTCTCTATCGCTTTTCAGTATGTGCCGGATAGTGCCTCCACTGTGGCCGTAAAGGTGACTGCTGCGCCAGCAATTGATACGACGTGAGTTCAGAAAAACTTGCTCCCATCGAACTTGTTATGGCACGGGATTATGTAAAATACATTTAGTTAAGTTGGAAAATACGTTTTACGAGGCTAAATTAGTAACAACCAAGAGCGTGTATTTTGCAAACTGCATCCCAGTCGTATGTAATGAGCCTACGCTTTTGACTGTGCTTTTTCTCTGAAGAGAAGAACTTATGAGTGGCAAAACAACGGACAAGGCCCTAACACGCGCTCCCATCGGCACACGAACTGTGAACCCCTCGGTCTTATCCTACTAATTCATTTGCCTCCATATTTCTGTTATTCATTTCGATGTTTTATAATGGAGTCAATCAATTACATTTGCTTGCCTGCGGGACTTTTGATGCCAATCAAGTGGTGGTTGTTTACACCCACTGAGTAACGAGTTTTTCTGTGTGGTGGGGGCGCTAGTTTTTCAGATGTGGAGCTCTCCCGCAATTCATGAATAAACAAATTGCAATTGAGGAATCGAAATCGCATGAGCTCCTGTAATGTAATCGGCCTTTTACACTTGTTTAAGTTATTCATTTAATTGTAGTGATTACATAAATTTCAAGGCATCGCGGAAACCCATAGAGCTGAGTTGACGGTGTGTGGCGATGAGTCAAGTCTTGAAACCCGTAAAAATCAGCATATTTCACATCAAACCTCATAGTGACGATCCACCTTCTCCTGGTTGTTATATTCTTCAGTTCGACTTTGACAGTACTGTCCCATCACTGCTTCAATCGATTGCCTTCAAAAATGACTACACAGAGAGAATTACGGGATACCTATTTTACAGAGAATCAGTACTAAACCATACCACATGACCTCCCCATTATTAGAAGAGCCAAGCACCTCAATGTGTCCAACTTCTGCGCTACCGTCTAATGCCACAACCATTTCGGGAAAGTTGTGGCTGCGTTGACGTCAGGATTGACCTACCTCGTGACTTCCCCACAGTCGTAAGAACACAGCATCTAATTTGTGCGCGATTTCTACTTCAGCAATCAAACGATATGTGGGGCAGCTTCGGCATGAAAAATGCCGCTTTCTATGGATCCACCGTCCCCAGTTCTGTGGAAGGGTCAACAAGTGTTAAATCATTAGGAGTTCCAACTGCCGATACTCCACCTGATGGTTCAAACATTCTCAAACTTTGCCAACGCCTGCGAAGAAGTCGCGATTCAAGTCACCGTCAGTCTCATTCATAGACTCTTCTTAAAGCCACCATAGACCTCCCATCAAACGTCAGAATAGAGAGCAGAAAATGATCACCCCATTCATAAATATTTACTACTTTAAATCACAATCCTCACCACTTTTCCGATTCCATACCGCCTAACATATTGAAAAGCAAGTGAAGAAGAAGTCGAAGTCAGGTGCGCATTTCGCGCAGAGCAGACACCATAAGTACAAAACTAGGCAAACCGTAGTAAAGGGTAGAAACGACTGGGCAGGTAATCATAATTTAAATGCACAGGATGAAAGCAGTCTTTACGAAACCAGTCATCTGAATCGCTTCGGTTTGGTCGCTTCTCTGATCTGGAGGCTAGTATGTCGCAGAAAATTTTGTTGTTATTCGCCAGATGGTCTAACCGGTCCAGAGGGTCCACTGGACCAATGTAACTCACTGAGGGGTTCAGAGCTTTCGCGGAAACAATCCACTGGCGCGCAAGTTCATAAATCTGAGAAGCCATCTTGTAAAGATCCTTGGTCTCTGTCTCCACAAAGGTCTTGCTTGTGACGTAATTATGCGCGGTTCTGAAAAACCCCTCAGGTCCCTCGCTGTCTACCAAAGGGGAGAAGCGGGAGGAAATGATTGGTCTCATCCGATGGATGAATTGGCTCTTGAGGGAAGAGTAGAATTTGCGGTGAGATTCGAGGGACGAACCCAGGGTGGTGCGTTGTGGGGGTTTGCTCATTGCCTTCAGATTAATTCCAGCGTCACGCTGCAGCGCTCGCATCGCGTAAAGAGTCGCCACACTCATGAACCGGTGAACGTTCGATTGAGCAACCTTTAATTGCAAAAAACTCATAACCACACATCCAACGATCCACTAACCTCAATTATCACTCCCCACTTGCCTGGAACTTCCAATAATCTGGACTAACGCTGGGCATTTGAATAAAAGACGAGGTAGGAGGTGATGGAGGTGGTTTCACTTCCGTCTCCTTAAAATTACCGACTGTACTACTACTGTCACCACGACCACCACGACGGCGACGCCGCTTCTTGGCAGCAGCAAAAGCAGCACTCGTGTTCGAATGACCGCTGTTTTCCGCCATCAGTTCCTTCATAATGTGATCCAAAAAGGCGGAAAGATTACGCTGTAGAGTGATTATGAGGGCGTAGACATAGACCCACTCATAGGGAGAGTATAGATCCAGCTGAAATCCTGTCACCAGGTAATCCCACACCAAATGGTAGTAGAAGAAACAGATGTAGGATGTAAGATGGATGGGGATTGGTGAATTACGTGGTGCGATGCGAGCCTCTACTAGCTCCAAGGCAAAAGTGGTCTCCACAGAAACCGCGTCGTCAATAAGTTCGTTGAGTATGCCAAAAATGCGCTCCATGTTAGAGCGCTGACGGGAGCGATTTAAGGTATAACATCGACATATCTATCCGTGAACGGGGAGGGAAGAGTAAATTAGGTGGGCAGGCCGCACTTACAAAAGAAAAAAGATCTTTATTGAAGTAGTAACTTAAGAGACACTTTGGTGCTGTACTCAGAATAGAATGGGATTCTGGCTAGTGACTAGAGATGATAGTCCCAAGAACTGGCACGGCTGGAACAAATAACAGCATTGAAAAAGTAAAGTTACACTACTGACGAAGCTCCAACAATCCCAATATCATACGTTCCAAAACTAGCAACGAAAATGGAATGCCTTTTAAAAATCAAAAACAAATGGTCAAATAAAAGCTAGTTAAACGTTTCAGTAAGCCTGATGAAATCGTGCAAACCCACTGCTTGAGAACAAACAGATCGACATACGGAGTAAATTTGCATGAAGACATGCTCAAAGAACGAGGCGTAAGGAGCAAGGTATTCAATGGTATCGAGCATATAATCACGAGTCCAATCGCATTCAACGGACATCCACGACACCACAAAGTGCATACCCGGAGGCGATAGATCCAAGGCCTTCGAAAACCGCTCGTTTGCAATGAGAGGACATTTTACCGCAACTGCCATTAGAATCCCGAGTATGCCTCTAGAAAGGACACAGGATTTTGAGCAAGCATCCTCAATTTTCAAAGATTCCACCGTCTCTGCTTTGTTGAAAAGAGAATGGCAAAGATTATGTCCAACAGTATGAGCAAGTGAGCATAGTTCGTGAAGTAAGACAGCATTGATGGAATTTTTAGCAATAAGACTCCTTAGTTCTTGAACCACTTTAACTATCCGGGAGAACGCACATCCCAGAAATGAAAATACTGAAGGTCTATCAAGACTTCGAGGAAACCTTTGAACAGTCGCGGTCAGATTAGCAAGTGTCAGATAGGGCTCGAAGCCGGGAATTGAGAATATTTCACTTCGGGGGTTATCTTTCCCAGGTCCAGCATCTTTTCCACAAGTAGCCGAATCGATCAAGAGCTTAGAGATCTCAACGATTTCGATGGCAATCTTCTCTATTTCCTTACAAGTACCATCAAACGACTCAGAATTAATTGTAAACCTCTTCTGCGAAGAGTCTTCATCAAAAGTTACGGACTCGCCATACCCGGATAATTCCACGTTATTAAAAGCCGCTTCCAGGTCGTCTTTGCCTAAAACAGACAGAAAAGGCGCAAATTTCTGACCGAAGTCTAGCATGGAAATTGCCAGCCACAATCGAACAGATAAAGCGTCTTGCATTTTAGTCGGTTTGGATTTGCATTCAGACAATTTCACCCTCTCTTCCTGCAGCAGACCAACTAGATTTTCATTGGAAAGTTCAAAATAAGAATTAACCGGAGTATTATCAGGAAAGGAGGATTTGGTGTTAACTAACAATGGGACACCGTTGATAGCAGGGCAGAAGTCCTCATCTTCGAAGGAAGGTAGAGTCAGCAATAGGCGGCGAAAGGACAGTATTATGCGTCTTAATGCTTCGCAGAAAAGGGCTAGGCGAGAATCCTCGATTAATGGAATACAGTGCATATACATGCAGGTATAAACAGTTTGAACAAGAGAATCGCCGGTAAGCCAATTGACGAGCAACACAATCAACTCGTCAACAACACCCAAAAGGACTTCCAAATCAGTAAAACGTCCAAGTGGAAGATCTCCATTCGCAATCGCGTCATGAAGATAGACAACTTTTCTTTCTTTAGCCATCCCGGCATCCATACTTGGGTTCATAATATCGATTGCCGACATTACATATCGTAAGTGAAAATTGTTTTCGTGAGCTATTGCTCCAGGTTCAAGGCAAAGCCTACAGCATTCAAAAAACTGTTTTGTTATATCCCTCTGTTCTGCACTCATAGTTTCGCGGGTCTTAGAGATGATACAACGTTCGACAACCTGCAATCACATCGATTGAGCAATAACCGTCTGCACACCAGTTTAAAGCGATTTCCTGATTTTTGAGAACGTAATCATGCGGCTCATCACCACAACGAAAAATAATGATTCGCATGGGAACTTCCATAAATTTACGCTTAATTTTACCGAACTTATAATTTATGATGTGAAAAATTCAACGTGTGATACTAAGTACAGGAGTTAGTAGTTAGTAAGTATTTTTGTACGATTGAAAGTTGTTTTGTCACACATGTTAATTACTAAACTTTCGAATACAACTATATGTTGTTGCTCATACCCGCTAGTTGTATAATTGTGCCTTTAAATACTTTAACCTTACATGTAGTTCGGTTTGTTATTAATATCTATTGATGCTTGTCGCTCATTACCAATTAAATAAAAGTTATTGTAATCTCATGAGACTTCACACTCGATAGAGATAGGTGTGAGAGCTACCTGCTCACCCTCCCGCTCTTGAACCTCGGACTTCAAGAGATGGTTGTTTGCAGATGATTTATTTGGCATTTGTTACAGCAAGAATGGGAATTGGGATACAGATGAGCCGATTAGGAGATATCAACTGGAGAGAGACCCCTCACCGTCTTTGCGCACGTGATTCCCGTTTCCAATTAGTTCCCGCTTTTCTTTCTATGAAAGTTTATTTAAACAAATTAGCATATATTACACTACTGTAATTGATGCTGCAAGTAAGCATCCGTAAGCAAGCCACACCAGCCATCCTGTCCAGTGGCTCTTAAATTATGCTTTTTTCCTTAGCAGTGTTGCCTACCTCTAAAGTTACATGCGGTATAAAAGCAGAACCTCAGGGGAAGAAACTTCTGTTGACAAATAATGGTGTTCGCAGCCAGATGTTGGAACGCTAAATTAAGACAGGTTTATGAGAAGGAGAACAAAATTGGACACAGTTGTCTTTAAAAAAGAATCTAGTGTAATGTCATCGCCAGCATCAATGTAAGGACATGATCGAGGAGGCTTCAAAATGAAACCTATACAGATGATGAACAGTGATGTCATCTTAGTTGTTAGTACTTTGTTTCTGGAGTACTGGGGTCGGGTAGAGGCCAAATGCTGGCGCCGTGTTCAGCCTCTCTATTGTGGAGAGGTGGGAGTTCCTCGCACCCAAAGAGTCTTCTCTTCATCCATTCAGGGTAGAAGTCCTAATAATATGGGGCTTATTTACCATAGGATCGAGGCGAGCAGTAGGTGAGCTGAATGTATGTATTCAGAAAGAAGGGAACAAGGTTGTGCTTTGACTTGGCTCTCAGTCGAGATTACGCGGGTAAGAGCAAGATAAATACCGAAGTGACCACCAGCCATACAGGTAGTCTAATAATCAGGCATTACCATCGTGATTGTAATGCCTTGTTTATGTGGTCTTCGGGTCATGCTCAGGCTCAGTTGCTTTGTTCTATTTGGAATACATGTATTCAGCTTCACTTACTGCCTCCTTTCACCCCATGGGAAGTCTCGAGGCGCCACAATGATGTGAAAGTACTTGCTATCCTTAACTTCGTGTCCTTATATATTGTGGCGTTATTTGACCTGCCCGACAAGGGTGTGCTCTAAGACTCAGGGCTGCTGGCATGCCTTGGGAGCCTTTAAGTGCTTTATTTAACAAACTGATGGCTAACCAAGTCGCCATTATTTATAGTACATACATATTAGTAATGGTTTTTGACATTACACTTATGCCTCTGGTATTATTTTCAAAATAAACCTTGCATAATTTATGAAACTCGTGCGCATAAGAGAACTTAAAACCTTGGCCAAACTGCTGTCAAACGAAGGTAGTACTGGGAAAAGTTTGGTCGTAGACACTTATTGGACCTGAACACTGCACTTGGGCAAAATTTATTAGGAATGAGAAAACATTAAATACCGAAGAGGGTAAAGTATGCGGCTGATAGTCTTACAAAAGTGAGATTTTTAATTTTGTGATCATAATCACACTGGGCCAATGGATGATGGCATTGTTGTGAGTTCTACACCACAGATCATTTCACCAAATCAGCAACTCCTCTGGGCACCTGCATTGAGATAGCGTCCCTCTTAGTCTGGACAACCTCAAGCCTCATTGAGGACTTCTGAAAAAGGGACCCCTGAAAGACGTCAGGATTTCTATGAAGTCCCGATATGGCGTATTAATATAGAATTTTTATTATCAGTGAAGATGCTGTAGGTACAGACTTGTGGGTAGGTCCTTGTCACCATGGGACGTATAACACACAGGGTCTGAAGATCCCCCACAGTTAAATGCCCATTAAAGCACACATCAAATCTCAAGACGAAGAGTTGTAGGAAAGTCGACTTTAGTATCGTACCAAATATCAAAGTAATTCTGATTTAAGGAGGCCTATTTCCCTCCGCCTCATTTTAAGTTCGCCAGATCTGGCAGCACAGGAGGCGGTGGCTGCATTAACCTTCGTGTAAAACTACTTCAGACGTTTTTTTGCCTTTTTGTGATAGACTTCCGCAAAACCTAAATGGTCAGGATTTCTATTGTTATTTTAGGTTCTGCGACACTTCAACACATCCTTATTTACCAAAGAAGACCAAATGATTGTGGAGAATAAGTTCTGTCGACTTAGAGAGTAGCTGAGGCATCAGTTTTGTAGGTCATTCCGAGTGGTGACGGTGCAAAGGCGAAGCCTTAAGTGTTTGTAAGGTCAACTGTTTGTTACCCTCAAAGCGGTAGACATGACAGCTCCATAATGCACTTTGCAGGCGGTTCACCGCCGGTGTCACCTGGGCTGAGCACGAGACTTGTGTGCTTACTTGTGTACATGTGCCATTTTTCAAGTAGTTTATTGGAGACATTCACAACTCTGTCACTCAGCGCCACTTCCCCTTCCGCTATGCCACCAAAGTTTATCACTAAGTTGTAAAAATAGGGATGTTTGTCCCCTAAACCAGAAATTCTTTTCCGCTGTCACTTATATAGGGCACTGAGGCAAACCTGAAGGCGAGGGAGAAAAATCACCACAGCTGAGCAGACCTTCAGAGCTAACGACATGCACTGGCGGCCGACGTAACTGTCGAAGATGCAAAGTTCGAGGGCCTGGATGAGCCCAAACAATTAACTCAAGTGTTACGATATCCTTCCAGTACTTTTTCTGTCAATACGCATTAGCTAGCCGAAAGGAGCTTGCTGTTTTAAAAAATCGCGCATATGAGGCTGTTAGTGAAGCAATGGCGTTCTAGGTTATCTGAATGGGGTCCGAAATTTTAACTTGAGTTGCGTACTCTCCAATCTGCCTTGCAGTGACGACGGACCATCCTCATGTAACACTTAACTCCATGCACAAAGGTAGAGGCAACCTTGGAGTACAACAAAGTGCTACATGGCGAGAGGAGCCCGGCTGACCAAGAAATTCTACATACCCTAGCAAAAGATACCAATTAATCGCTTTAATTAAGCCTTATTTAATTGTCTGTCAACCTTATCACCAAGCGAAATTTATGTATGCTACACTTTCGCAAACATATTGGGTGTATATTTTAGCCCATTAGTGAGGTCGTCAACTGTCTCTCATAGATGGGGTGAAGCGCCTACATTCCTAAATAAATAATGTTTTTTTTTTAATTAGAGGATCCCAAAATAGCCTTTTAACATCTCCCTCAAGGTGCTATCTCAATGTCTGCTGAAACAAGGAAAGACAGACAATGGGGAAAATAAACTTCCCTTGAAACCGTTAACCTTCGAAAGGAAGTGGTCATTCAAGCGTTTAATAAAGGTGAAATGAAGGATCACGATTTAAAATTGGCATACATTTTTCGTCTATCTTGCATAAAATAGCCACTGGTTTGTAAACCACGAAAAGTTCAAAGCAAATTACTTATCAATTTACACAATTATTGAGTTTTTTTGGAAAACAACTTGTAATGCATTGGTAGACAGCCTATACTGCCACCCTCTTCATTATTAATTCTGGATACTTGATCCTTTTCAAAAGTTAAACTGCTCAATTCTTCCTCCTTCCTTGTTGATCCATTTCTTCCCTCCTCTCTGCACAATAATGTGGGGGCTACTGCTCACCGCACACCCCCAATGACTGTCAACTTGTGTTTACTTTTGCCTTGGTAACAATGAGTGTCTGTCTAGATACCGCTCCACACACCCGAACCTAATTCGAATCGTACACGCAGGTCCCATGCCTAGCGGAACCCTCTTCCCCTATTAGTTATCTCCGCCTTCCTTTCTGCCTAAAACTTATTATTATGAGGTATTTTTTTCAAGTCGTTTAAAATTCACTAGGACCTGCAGTACTCCACCAACTCTCAACTAGCCAGACCAATATTTTGATGAGAAACGAAAGTCGCAGGCAGAAGTAATAACGAGATGGTTGAGCTGACTCCATCATGTGAAGCCCTTTTACCTCTTCCTGCCCTTTCAGTGGAATTTCACGGTGCATATGAGTTCTCCAAGTCTTTTATGGTGATGTAATAATCTACATTAAACTATTTGTGCTTTTATTGGATAATCAACACTAAATGACTTCTTTATCACATCTTGGCATCTCAAGACCCGTTTAGTGTTTGAATTAATAAACCAAATCGGTCACGTTTTGAGCGCTTTTAGTTCACTTTTATCGTTTCTGCTGCTGGTTTTTAATGGTGCCTCACTAAAGCGATAAGATAAAAACAACTGGCAAAATTGGAGATTTTCACTGAATTTTTTAAATTCCACTGCAGTAGACTTGGTATCAAAATATTTGAGTTAATTTTGTATAAGTGTTAGCGATGTGCTCTTAATTATTAACATGGCTGGGAGGTAACTGAATATCTTAAAGAAAGTGTCGAATTTCTTTGGCTTTGCTAGCGCGGTCTCATTAGCTCATCATCACGTCCTGGTAAGCATTCTAAGCTGTGGAGAGGGCACGTACTTCTTACCTAAATGGCAAAGAATTCGTCTCAAGCTGCTATTGTTTACCAACCATATT